AGTAGAGTATCTATTCCCGTCAAAAAAAGGGTACCCTTACTTTTTTGTTAACAGTGCCTTTAAGATATGTTGGACTTGGACGACCTACGAAATTGTGCTTCCATAGTAACCAAAATTGGGAGCTTTGGAATAAAGAGCTTCTTAGAATCATTTCTCGTAATTCTTATCGAAAGCTATCCAGTCGACAGTATGAGTCATCTCGCCTGAAATTCAGGTCTAGTACAGTTAAAGGAATAAAGCTGTCAGCACTGATAGTCTTTGGAATGCATTTCACTTCTTAGAGCCTTGTGATGTTGGTTGATCTCTTGGTTTAAGTAAATAATATCCGAGTGGGTGAATTGCTCCAACCCAAGTACTACTTCAGGACAAGCTGGGACACGCTCAATACTTTGCATTAGCTCGAGTTTTCCTATAGTTATGTAAAAGACATTTTCTGCCAAGGTGACTGAGGGATTAGTATAACCTACCACAACAGCATTCCTGTAATTGTCCTCTCCAATCAAAGCCCGTAGCATAGTGAGAACTGACGCTCCCTTGGCGTATGAAATGTCGTCGAAAGCTTCCGCAACTTCTGCCGCTTTGTCAATCCTAAACGAAAGCGGATGGCTCGATGCTGCCGAGTCAGCTCTCATTCCGCGATCCATTCCATCGAGTAAGAAGAAATCTTGCTGAAATGATTTCCCTTCTACTTCGAATATGTATGCCAAGAGCAAAAGATAAGTTTCGAGGTAGAATATCTGTCGAAAATCTCATGAAAACTTAAATTTCCTTTAAAAGATCCTGAAGCTCTCCATAGAAACACTAAAAATGGACACCAGCTTCTTGTATGCGCATAATATATGCGGAGATTTCATGGGAACGTAGCTAAATGACCAGATCGAAGCTCATTTCTAAGCTTCCTCTTTCTAGCTCCAACGAAATGTGGGGATCATCGTAGGGTTGAATGAACAAAGGAGGGGGAGCGGGTACGTGATGCACATACAGGTAGGTACAGTCCTTATATAGCTAAATAAATACATTATTATAAATAAATACAGGTAGGTACAGTCCTTATATAGCTATTCCTTTCCTAAACTTGCAAAGCAGTGTAAGAAAATTTGGACTTTTCCAAGATTTTCGACAGATACTTACGAACCATCTAGTTAGTAATTCCATTTCATACCGTTCTGAAGTTGTTGTGGCTAATTTCGTCCATTCCAAGATACTCAACAAATGTTGCAAAACCCTCGTTCAACCACGTATCATCCCACCACTTCAGTGTGACCAGATTGCCGAACCACTGAAATAACGAGAATGTGTGAAAGCTAATTTTATAAGTTCTAGAAAAAGCATAGGAAAATGTCGTTTGTAATGGTCCAATCGGTTTAGAAAAACGAGTTTGATCAGTTTGCTTGAGATGGTAACTTGTTTAGATTGTTTAGATATTTTTTCTATAGTCAAAAGCAACAAGTTACCGACCCTGACTGATTTATGGGACGTACCAAGGGGTTGATTTGAGACCTGGAAGCTCCAAGAGTTGTGAGCAACTTTACTAGTATTGATAGGACCTAGGTGGCGAGGCTGGGATAGAAGATTTCGCATTACTGCCATTATGACGCTAAATTTCTTTTTTCAAACAAGAGCAATACCTGATGAGCAAGCTCGTGAGCAACTACGAGAGCAACCCGCTGTTTATTCATCGGTGCATAAATTCTTGAATCGTATAGGAGAGAATCCTCTCTGGAAAAGGAAGATAAAACATGGTTTACTTTTTTCCCGTAAAGTCATTTTTACAGACTTAAGGATTTTGAAAAAATAACTTTGAAAGGGAGGTGAACCTTTCATTGTTATAATTTTTGAAGGTACTTTTCCCACCATATTTGGTACAATTCTTATGTATTCCCAGTAACTGTCACTTTTTCTCTTCTACCCTCTGGCCTCAAAGTGTTAGGGACAAAATGCAATAGAGCGTCCAAGCCCTTTTAACCACCATGTTGGTACCTGTACTGCCATTTTCTGTAGTTTTAAGAAAATGAAGAGGGGAAGTTGGAGAAATAAGGAAGTGGAGAATCCCATTCTGTGACAAAGTGATAGAGCTGGTAAGAAGTAACGAATGGGCCACCTAAGAATGGTGCGTCCTGAAACTTAGCTTAGGAGGAGTCTCCGGATCTGTACTTTTTTCGAATGCTCCATTTTCAGGTAATAAGATATAGCCCCGAAACTAGCTTTTGAGAAAAGGGTGGTCATGATTAAACTATCTGCAAGTCAAAGACAGTTGTCAGGAAACTGATTTCATGTTCGCTCATGGTAATGTGAAAGTCTCAAAAAGGTAGTACTTGCACTGGACTCCTCAGCCCTTCTTCCTTTTCAGACCCTTTCGAGCGTAAGATATAATTGTGCATTTCGATGATCGATTGTCTTGTTATTTTCATTGCCTCTGAACCCTATCGAATTCCTCCCTTTCCTTGTGCTAACACTCTTGTGGATGAATCGAACAGAATGTTGTCATAGAATGTACCTGTAAGTGATAAGGCCCCAGTTTTCCATAGCACCAGCGGTGAAATCAGGAAGAGCAATCATATCTGGAAAGAAGCTGTTCAAGGAATGAGATGGAGGTGTGCAAAAAGATTTCTGCAAGCTGAGGTTTTGTTCGAACTAAGCACCCACCTTGTTTTTCCAGAGGGAATTTGATGTCAAAGAATTTCTCATAGAACTCCAGACATCTGATGCCAGCATCCAAGGCATATTCCGTCATTTCCATCGCTTCTGGTCGAGACCATATACGGAACTGAGTGCAATTAATCATTCCAAAGCAATGAAGGCAGTTATTCAGCAAAAAATTCTTACCCGTACACCTGTTTCGGTGTAGCCTTCAATGTATTCAAATTCACAAACAATAATTGCCAATAAATAGGACGACATCGGTGGAGTAGTTTTAAATTTGGATGTTATCCAATCACCCTGGAGCGTCCTAAAAGGATTATTCGAAACCCAAGGTTATAGCAAGATTCGAAGTGGAAACTAATCGTTGCACTAGGATCAAGGGAATTGATCCCATGCGCTCTTCCTTTATTGGGACTCGTATGAATTCACTAAAACCAGCTTGAAAAAAGACTCCCGAGGATGCCTGAACGACACTTTCAAAAAACTTCAGGAACTGTAGCTGTACAAGACCTCCCACATATTCCAATAAATTCAGATATGCCCTTTCTTACGCCATGGTTTGAGAGCGATTGGAATGAACCAGGTTCTTCTCCGAATGACTTGCGGCATTCAAAGAAGAGTCTGGTATTACCCTGCATGGAAATAAGGCTGTAGTGCCTATTATGGAGCCGAAAGGGAATGCGAGGTTGATAGTTGCCTTTAGGAGTGGAACTAAATGATTGCTCCCGTACGAATTCAGTCGTTCCATCAATGTATCAGATTATTCGGAAAGGAAAGCTAGTTGAATTTGTCCATTCATTTTTCCCCTACTATAGAAGATTTTTCCGCGCATCTTTTGATATATTTTTGGCTATGTCTACTTTNAAATCGGCTGCTGAATCTCATCGCGCCATATCTCAAGTATTCGCCGAAGAAACCCTGTCAGAAACCCACTGTCGGCGATGGTTCCAGCGATTCAAAAACGGTAATGAAAGGACCAAGAACATGGAATTCGGCCTCAAGCAGTCGATAGTCAAGTGTTGAAGACCGTCATTGAATTGGATCCCCACCATACCACCCGAGAACTGGCANNNNCGACGATGGTTCCAGCGATTCAAAAACGGTAATGAAAGGACCAAAAACATGGAATTCGGCCTCAAGCAGACAATAGTCAAGTGTTGAAGACCGTCATTGAATTGGATCCCCACCATACCACCCGAGAACTGGCAACACATTTTGGCTGCTCAAGCTCTACCCCATGAGCATTTGCTGGCAATTGGCAAGACGAACAAATGCGCAAAGTGGGTACCGCACCAGCTGAGTGACGCAAACGAGGCAACACGAGTGGCGATGGTCGAAACTCTTCTCCGTCGCTCCAAGAACCGCTTTCTTCAAGTCTATTGTTACATCAGATGAGAAACGGATCTACCTCGACAACCCACACGAAAAAGACAGTGGTTAGACGCCGGTGACACTCCAAAACCCACTCCGAAACCAGATATACACGGCAAAATGGTAATGCTCTGTGTTTAGTGGCACAGCAAAGGTTTAGTGTACTTTGAAGTTCTGGATTCGGGTCAAACTGTTACGACGAACATTTACGAAGATCAGCCGAACCGCGTGGATCAAGCACTGCGTCGTCAGGGTGTCGAAGCGACGTGGACGAGATTCTTCCACGACAACGCTCGTCCACATGTCGCGAAAACGATCTTGGAAAAAAATTGAGGAATTGGGCTGGAAAGTACTGCTTCATCCGCCATACAGCCCACACCTGGCACCATCCGATTACCATCAGTTCCGGTCGATGCAACACTCCTTGGCCGATAGAAAATTCACCGCGAAGAGGTCCAACTCCGGGGGTCCGACTAATTTCAGTCGCAGCCGGCCGAGTTCCTAAGAAGAGGAATCCATTCTTTGCGTAAACGTAGGCAACAAGTCATTGATAGCAATGGAGAATACCTATTGGATTGATCTTGTTTAGTTTCGTTTATATAATAAAATTTTTTTTNTTTTTTTTGAACTCAAACGCAAATTTCTTTCCGAACAACCTGATAATATTGTTGCCTCTTTGCGCTCCACATTGGAAGACTAAAATCTCTTTCTCAAGGGTGTGCGAGCAAAGGCGATTGACGTTAAATCCTTTGAAGTGAGTTGAAGCCACTGAAGCCAATTAACACAATCGGATGAGAAATCTCTAAAGGAGGATAGCCTTCAGAATCTGAAAAACTTGAGAACCACTGAATTCCTTTATTCCTAAACAAAGGCCGAATTGGGATCGATCCCTAACAGCATTGGACAGTAGGCAAAAATTTTCCTTCTGAACTGAATATGAAGATGATATATCCTCCGAAATGCATATTTTAAAATGAAATGAACTTGCGGACCCATTTCCATTTGCTTCAATGCCGTTCGATGCAGCCTTTGTACCTTTGGGATGAACAACGGTGACAGTCCATTTCGCCTTATACTTCGGTTCGTCAAAGCATGGAGCTATACGACGAGCATCTGATGGTTCATTTTGTGAAACAGCAACGATCCTAAAATCGAATGTGCTTTTTCCAGTATACATTCCGTTGTACCTCCCGTTTTGCTACCGTTTCTGCTAGTTTCTAAGGCCTTAAAGATGTTCAAGCATTTTTATATGTTAAGGTGGTCCATTCCTTTTTTGCTCATTATTTAGCAAGTCTGAGGCTCACAAATACGAATATTTCGAGGAAATCTTCCAAAAGACAACTTAAACCCTTTCTTTCGAGCCTACTACTATTGCGATCAAATCTTTTTTACTGCCTCTACCGTTCTTCACCGATGTAAATTTTGTTTAGGGGGCTAGATTCCCGACGCTTTTTACCTATTCTTTTTCCTCTACATGCCATTGAGGAGAGTAAAATTCGACAAAACAGTAGAAGTGGAACAGAGTATTGTCTCGTAATAGACAGTAAAGCCCTCTACTAGATCCTCTAAATGTTAGTGTTAGTTTACAGGGCACCGTGTTACCGAAGGTGATCGTTCCCACAGGCGTGAATGCGGCGACGTTGCCCATATCCGAAAAGCAGACGACATCATCAAAAGTAGTCAAGTAATATTGCCGACCATCGAAGATCAAGCTAATTTGACTTTTTCTAAGCTCATTTAGGTGAGAGCCCTCCGCATTAAGTTGGTTGAAGCCCTCTAACTAGTTCACTTGAACTTGGAGGGCTCGAAAATCACGATCACTATCAGACTGTGAGGGTGCCACTCGGTTGACTCATACATTTCATTGATGGGCCCACTGAAGAGAGCATGTACTCTTCCGTCACTGATAAGATCGAGAACCACAGAACGGAGCCTCCTGTCCTCAGTAAAATAAAATATTAATTATAGTGAAATCAATCCCCATTAAAACACAAAACAGCTCTGAAAAAATTTATGATGAGTTTTGAATATCAGAGAAAACGTACTTGGTGGTTCCGTCCGTATCGGTATAGATGGACTGGTAGAGCCCACCGAGAGTGTTGCTAATAAGGCCGGTGTAAGTGATCTAAAAGTCGTGTGTACTCTAGGCAAATCAAGAAGGCGAACGGTAGTCTCAAAAAGTAAATACCGACTTTGAGCAGGATTTTCTGATCTTTCTGCAGTTGATTTTTGAGCGTAATCTCAAGCTTGTCAAGTCTTTCCTGCATTTTTACACTTTCGATGTCAAGTTTCTGATTACCCTAAAATAGTAAGGTTGATTTACTATGCACCCACTGGTCCTTTGTCAAGGTTGAAGGAGGGAAATATGTACTGGAGTAAGAATCTCTATCCGAAACTGAATAAGGGGCTCCGGCTCCCACGTCTGCCAACGAGAGCCCCTCTTTTTAGTGGAGTTTCAGTGATTGTTTCCTTCCAATGGATCGAATGCTTCGTACACTGGGTATGGATAACTTTTCGAACAATATTATAAAGTTGATAGAACCCACTGAGAACAATTCGCATCCTCCTTGTGCCAAAGTGATTTTCTTTGAGTTCAGTACAATGCTATTTGTTGGCTCAACGACAACCATAGAAATCTCCACATGCCCATCAAATGTGAGATTCTTCTCTGGTGGAAAGTTCACGTAACCCGGTAGATATGTTTTGATGCTCAAGTCGTACGACACTGGAAAAATGGATTTCGAACTCAGTCAGCGATTCATGAACTGTCTACCTGTTGTGAAAAAAGGATGGGAACGATGCTAGCCATCACTGTAAGGAATGGAGGAAGGAACTGCTTCTTTTTGTTGACTGACAATTAATCTGGGGATTTTCGCAGAGCAATGAGCTGCAGCCTGGGCAGAATCTATCAGCAATAGCTGTATAAGGCTTATATCTCTTGGAATCGTCGAAACCCAGAGTCTTCGCCGTATGGCGACGTGGATAGAATAAGCCACTCAAGCTATTTTAGAAAACTCGGGAAAGGACATTGGATTCCGAGCTTTGAGTCTGTTCATTCGCAAACGCAATTGGGTCTGGCAAAGCAAGTTCAGCTATCCTATCTATTCTCTCATACTTATAACGTGATTTCTGTAAAGGGCTCCTGCAAGTTCCCACCGCGGATAGCGCCAACGTAGAACTCTTCAAGTCATGATCGCAGAGAGCCATAGCCCGGGTACAATTGTTCAGCCAACACCGTCTCCATATTTATTCTATGGTTGTTGTGATATTGTAATTATATATGGATGAAGCTGTTTCGTCCTTTCCAATCTTGACGGTACTCATTTTCTACCGTGATAAATTAGAAGTGGGCAGACATGTGTTTTACCAATTTTTTTTACCACTACATACTTTGAGGTTGAATGTTATCCACATAAGCTATATAAACTTTTTGTGCGTTGAAGGATAATGTGCCACTCAGGATCTCCAGAAGCACAAAGGTGAACACTGTATCAGTACGTTATCGCCTAATGTTAAATAAATATACACACTTTGTGAAGAAAAGTGGAGTCGATGTGAATTAACAATGAGCCCTTACCCTAGTGGCATGGGAGGGACGAGTGACCGGATACTCGTACAACCACTCCGGTTGGGAGGGGTCAGAAGCGAACTATACCGACGTCTTGCCTCTCTCGTGATTTCTCTGGCTCCAAACACGGTTCCACTAGTTGAGTGAAGCTCAAAAAATAATTCTTGATGAGTAACCAGGTCATACAGTCCCCGTCAGTTATTGAAGAACACTTTCACCACGACTGATGTGTATCGTTTGCCCAACACATTGAGCCTTTCAGTGGCTGCCACAGGGCCGAGTTAGTTCATACACATCGAAATGGCATTCGTGAAGGCATGTGGTTGCGCTTTGTTTTTTGGAACTCAAAGGATGACTCATCGCTACAGTGAGCGAGGACGCTCCAAAAATGTTGAGGTCCAGCCGGATCTCTGCCATCGTGCACTTGGTTCTCTTCCTCTGGATATCGCGGATCGTCAGGCTGCCGCCAGTGTGCATTCTCCCTGCTCTTGAGACTCTCAAGGGATTTTCACTAGTTCAACTCACTTGAACATTCTATGATTTGCCAGTTTTTCAAAGTTCGCAAAGGTCCGGCAGTTATTCATATAAGAGGAATTGTGGATTGAGGATGCAGTATCGAACTACTGCCGAAAAAATTGTTACTGCCATGAACTCTGTCGCTGCTTTTGATGGTGAAATCAGAATCGTCCATTGCATCTCATCATAGAAAACCTGACGCTAAACACTTTACTGTTATCTGCTTATTTATCTTTTTGTTTTAGTAAAGCCGTTCTCAGAATAGCGCTGCAGCATTTACTTACGGGAATTAGGATATTGATAAGAAAGGTGTCTCTAAGAAGAAATATTGACCAAATATTCCGTGAAATCGGGATGGAGATGGCTCAGTGCAAGTGGCACATTATCACCCGCGCATGGTCACGGTTTTGAGCCCCGTATCGATATCTTGATAGGCCAGTCAAGCTGTCCCTACCGCCGGGGTGGGTAACAGACTATTTGGTTGGTACCAGATTTGACTGGGCGGATGAAAGCACTATTCTATTCACAGGAACATGAGCTCAAGAGATTTCTCGTGAATTTCCGACCTGCTGGTAAAATAGTCCACTACCACTCTTGTCATCCTGTTGAGGATCAAAGATGAGTTAAGATATGCCTTGGTACTTACCTGGTTTTATGTTGGTTGGAAGAAGTAGTTCTTCCGCAGAAGGAGAATTGTCCTTTTCTTTACCACCAGTGTCATCCCTGAATAGACGACTTGGGAATGCTTCAGAACTTGGGCAATTCTTTCGAAGACTTCAAGAAACGTGCGCTTACTTCTGTTCCTTTTGTGTGGTATCGAATGCTTTACGAGTGAAGTAATAGGTAAGACCAATGGAGAGTCCAACGGCAGCAGCTAACACAAATAATGTACAAAGCAGGCTGATCGGTGAAAAGCCCAAGATTCTACGTTTCTGCCACTCCGCCGTCATCTAAATGGCAGTTTTTGAGGAGAGCTCGAGTGCTCGATCACAACATTTCTATCGGAAAACGGAAGGGCTTCAAATGAAACGTCCATATCCTAAATGTACGTAAAAAATGATTGAAGTAAAGTAATGATGAATGCCGGCTACTCGGACGAAAAACTCAAAGCATACGAGGGGTCATGAGGACATGGAAAAAATGCAGGAGGATGAGCAGAGGGAGAAGATTCTGCCGGTCACTATTTCAGTCTGACAACAAGTCGCAATCAATTGTCAAACGGCCTGTTCAGGGAGTGGGGGCTTGTGAGGACAGGTATTCGATGACGTTCTATGATAACTGTGATAACAGATGACATGGACAGCAATGCACCCTTTGTTCTTTTTTGTAGCTCTTGTTCTGGGTGCTACTTTGGCTTTTCCTTCCAGCTCCCTTCCGTAGACCGTTTTTTGGGAAGCCTTTCAAGTGAGCGAGCATCACCTGCTTGGTTTCTAGAGCCAGCTGGGAACCCAAAGCCACACAGTTGGTTTCTGAGGTTTACCCCTAGAATGAACGTGTGACCCAGCCTAACGGACGCTGTTAAGTCGAGAAACGGCCAAGATAGGGCGTAACCAGAGCCTCAGAACCGGCTTAGCCGATGTACACACCCATTCACATCAGAACCCGCACCTTCCAAGGGGGCAGCTTACTGCCGCCAGCTGTACGCAGTGGCGCGCACATTTGGGAAGCTCGTCCAAATGCCCCTTCCATGCAACTTCTGTCGTCGTAATCTCGCCCAACCACTGTTTTTACGGCTTTTTCGAAGCCCTACATTTCTCTGAATACGTAGATTTTGTACTGTTCTAGACTGTCGCTTCCATTACTCCTCTAAAACTAGGTAACCCAGAATTATCGTGAACTAGGCCTTTAATCATATGCTGTATAGCCCTTTACGGCAAGGCCGCAGTTGTACGATTCGATTGATGGGCACAGCTCATATGACCATAAAACAATGGAAAGATCCTGAAGACACACAATGCATTCCAAAGCCATGTTTTTGTACCACCCTAAAGCTGCTGATAAAAGATAGAACTGATATGTCAGAATGCATTTAAACTCGCGATTCCTCGGTATGACAGGGAGATAGGGAAAGTACTGGGAACAAAAAAACGTGCAAAAAAGGGCAAAGAATTTGCCAAAGCAGCAGAATGGCTCAGTGTGAGTAACTGTAATGGAGTTTATGTGATTTCATCGGGGTGGTGTTGAAATGTCCCGTCATGGGGCAGCTTCTGGGCGGGAGACACCGAAAAGGACCCGGAGCTTCTTTCTAAAGGGCTCTATCAACACTAAGCGTCACTGAATCATCTCCATATTTGGCTTAAAGAGACTATTCGCTGTTGCAATAGCTTCAAAACGATCGGAAATCAACTGCGAAGCACTTCCAAGGCGGGAGACGGGCAATTGAATTGGTTTTGTGTAATCGTTTCACCGCATGCGGCTGTCACGGACTAGGGGAGTGGTGCAGCAGGATCGGAACTGTCGCGTCGCGGCGAGAGGGACGCCGCGCGCGAAGGAACCTAGCAGAATGTAGCAGTAATAAAGAAATACAGGAACAAAAGAACTAACAGTAGAATCATGCCCAATATAATGATCGCATATCGATTGAGCTGTATGAAGAACTCTAGAGCTGTAATAACGGCGAAGTGAATGGTTCGCTACAGCCGCGTGCGGCAATCGTTGCACAAAACCGATCCTACTGCCCGTCTCCCACGGACTAGGGGTATAGAATTTTCTCCTCGAACGGCGTGTCGTGCTCGCCGCACGCGATCGCGCTTTGTGAAAGGAAAGACTCGAATTCCTGGCGGAAGGATACGGAGAGTCGCCGCGTAACCACTGCCGCAGAGCGTGGGAGTTCGGCGAGAAGTTCCGTCACCCATGGATTAGTTGCCTCGTTATTGCATTCTAGCGCTCCTCCTACAGCTCGATCGATGTGCGACTATTATTTTTTGCATGTTCCTACAGTTACTTCTTTTGTTCCTGTATTCGTTACTCGCTGCGCTGCTTCTGCTTCATTCTGCTACATTGTGAAACGCTCCCTTGAAAGGTGATGAAACCAAATCCTTTCGTCATTCATTCCACCTGAGCCATCAATATTTATCAGATAACTAATCTATACAATTGTAAAACGATCAATACAATCAAAAGAAAAACAAACAAAAAGCTATAGAGGAGAGTGTTCTGAGCAACAGACTACAAACGAATATGAACAAATTTCCGAATTCAGGTAGCATGAGGGTACAGAGAGGATAACATTTCGATGAAGCGAAAGTAATATTGATCATTGGGTGCAATACTGAGCTTTGTTTACTATTCAAGTGACAACAATGACCCCTCACGGTAGGCAAATATAACGATAAAAGTTTTTATAGGTAAAAACTTCCATTCAGTGGAACAGTAACCAACAGATAGTCAACTCCCTGTCATATTCCTTCGTGAACTTTAAGATCTGGATTTATGGCAATGTAATTCGAATTACAAGGTGGCTTTCTTGAAGAAAGCCGCTAGTTTTTGGAAATGTTTTTTAATCCAATCCACCCTATTTTGCGCTCGTTCGATTGCTTTATCGAATGCACCGAATTGACGAGCGTTTATGCCATTTTTCTGCAGATTCTTTAGCTGAAAAAATAAGGCAGTCTTTTTCTGTAGATTATTCCATGAATTGCTAACTTCCTTCTGGAAGTGATGACTTGTTTTAATCGGGGAACACGACTTTATTTTCCTCTCCACCAGGTCAGTTATTTTGCTCTAAGGGGGCGCTGGCAAATAGTATTGTACTCATGGTACACGAATTGAATTTCAAGTCACCACTTGCCCAGGCCCACTAATGTAAGCTTTCCATCTCTCAGGGGTCATTCAATTGGTATCAGGCCCGCCTGTAAGGATAGAAGAACTGAAATGTACACTGACTGGCAGCCTTGGGTCATTTCAAATTCTACAGACGCATTCAAGAAGCCCCAACGATTTCGAGTGATAGGCAAATGTGGAGGTCCCGGAAGCGGGGTCCATCAACGTATACTAAAGGCCTTCATAAAACTAAAAATTATAGTAGGGATTATTCAGTGTCAATTTTGTAATGAACGAATAGTAAAAGTTGACCTGGTCTATCTGCTGTTGTGAGCGGATTCCTGAAGTGCAGGCTGGTATCACTTTCTCAACATATGTGTGTTTCGTTCCTATACTGAAACGAAAGAATGAGGAAGATACAAGGAAAACGAGAAATCAGTTATAGTTCTAGGGCATATAGGTAGAAATACATAATTTGAAAGGTATCCGGGATTTTTTTTTGAAGAGCACCATTTGGTTGGCTGGCGCGGTATGGGTGATGGGATCTTCTGAATGACCCGACGCTTAAAGTCGTCGCCCACACGTATTTGCTTATGTTCTTGTGTTGTTGTTGTTGCTCTTTCATGATATCCTGATAGGCTGTAGTACTGATTTCACCTTTTGCTGTTAAGGCAGAACTCCCAAAGGCCAACAGAATGTTCATGTTCGAAAACATGGACGGATGAGAGCAGGGCTACTCTCTTGGAATGTCCTGCTAAAACGCCTAAACTTTCACCCGCTCCACTTACGAAACCACATGTAGCTTTGTAGGACAGCATCACGACCACTTGGCTTTTGGCTTTTCTTGAGCAGGTGATCCTGACAAAAATTTCAAAGTCAGTGTCTACAATAGGCACTAAGTGGAGCACTTTGAACATGGTTTCCCTATGATCACGGTAATCATCTGGAAGACATCCATATTTTATCCATACAATGCATCCTTCCTGCACCCGCTGGGTACGGCTAGAGACTTTGTTAGGGTACAAGTTCCCACACTCATTCCGATAAGTATAGGGCAATGGAATGACCAATGTCATGCACATTATTGTCCCAAGCTGTCTGCAGAACACCATGATACTCTGATGAGAAATTCGATAAATTATACGGATGCTGAAATTCCTCAGTTTTCGATAGATCATTTACAAAAAATGACCTTAAACAAGATCTTCCATAAACATCATTATAGCGGGTCTACCATGAAGGTATAGTGACACTGAAATCCCTGTTTGTCGAATGTTGGCATTCTTAGTGTTTAAGTTTCGATGAAATGCCGCGTGGGGAGAAGCAAATACCATGAAAATTTAAGCCTGGGTCATTTGGAATACCTTTCAATGATATCTGGCCATCTCTCAATAAGGAAATTGAAAATGAATTCTTCGCCAACAGGATTGGCTGCTACATTGTTGAAAGCACTTGGAATGTCTTGCATACGTACGAACGACGAATTCCTGTCTAGAGCCCGTAAGAGAAGTCTGAAATTTCGAGCATATTTCAAGAGACTTTCGAAAAAAAATGCATAGCAAGCAATTTTTAAAGAAAAAACTAGAAAAAACAGTTCACAGAAAGAGGAGATTTTTGATAACCTACATATCTAAGAATGGGACAATTCGCTAGTTTTAATTTTTCAAGGATAAAGCCTCAAAGTCGAGAGAAAAAAAAACAAATTACGGAGTTCAGTATTTGTAATATTGAATAACATCCTTATGAAACATGCCAGTAATTCCTCATAGGTTGCTTATCTGGTCTGAAACCCATAGATTCGGAATGCTTCCACAAGTAGGCACTATTTTTGATGATTGCTAATAATAGTATTTTACAGGCAACAGTGGGAGAGTTGTAAAAGTATAAACTCTGATTGGTTTGAAGTCCTGATTCACGAAAATGCACCAGTAGACATGCATGATTCTTGACTCGAATTACACATCGACACCCACCCGAGCCAAATTGGTCTTTCATCCCTTCGTTGTCGTTTGATTCATATCAGACCCGTCCGGGAGGATGATACCTTGACTTGTACATCGACTAACCACCGCCTCTACGACCTGAGTGTAAGTCTAGTGCTCGGCATATCCCAGAAACGTGATTGAGACGCCAAAAGACTCTTCTATGTGGAGCCTGATCTGCACCCAGTTAATCTTGCTTTATGTCAAATTGCATCGATCCATGACTTAAATTTGCTCCCAAAATGTATATCTTACGTGAAAACCCTCATTAGGGTTCGATTGGAATAGTATTAGTGACATTCGCTTCACACCATCTCAATATTTCAAGGTAACGACGACACACCGCGAACGATCAAATTACATCAAGCAGATAGTGTCTGAATGCAGACTGATAACCTTTTTTCGAATTAACTCAGCTCCCATTACGACAGCTTAAAATGCTTCTAGAAAAATCTGATTGAAACCATTTCAGATGCAATAGGTAGGGTGATAAGGTTGGGGGTTGGATTGGCAAGGAGAATGAGGGTGTGAACGGTGGTTTACGGCAGCTAAGTTATTTCATGGTCCTAATCCACTTCAAGGCTTTCACTAAAGCTTGATAGCCGAAGTTTCGGCTAAAATACAATTATAAATGAATACTTTCTTTGAACGGTTTAAGCAGAACAACCTTACAACACCTGTTCTACAAAAAAAAAAAATTCGGTACCAAGATTTTTAAACAAAATTGAAATCGGTTTCCCTTGTGATAATACTTTTGGTTCCTCTGATTCTTCGGATAAATTCTTGATACAGGCTTAGTTCTATCATTAACAACGCAACTAGACTCTCACCTGATTCTGTAAGAAAAGAAAGAAGAAGGTTTTTGCGAATAAAAAACAATCTCACCCTTTCAAAGCAGTAACATCTTTGTGACATCCCAATGCTAGGCGTAGGAAGTCTTTTTCTAGGGCGAGTGTTTCGGCCATATAAAGCTCCATCACCTAAACGACGTGATTTCTGTTGATATCTTATAATAACTTTTGACTCCGTTGAAAATACCATTACTCAGCGCCTCCAATAAGATCTGCACAAGCTACAGAGGCGTGTGCTGATCTTTCATGGTCGGCAATGATTCTGAAGAACGCTAAGGGCACGGCTCAATATTGGACCCCGAAAATGGGCCTTCTGCGACTAACCATGGCCAGCCCGCTCAATCGCAGGCATCATACTGCATTCCTAGAAGGTCTACGAGGTGTGGGAAAGGTGGACAAATGTGGAAAACCTCTCTCAGGCCTGTATGATCGTGAGCGATAGAACCTGTGTTCATACTTTGAGATTACCTTGTCGAAGGCATAATCACCGCCTTCCTTCACACCATAACAATAAACACTTGATCGGAGAGGAGCGGCGATTCTGAAAACATAGTTAGTTAAACCACTACAATATGAGCCTTTCAAAGATCTACGCGCAGATAGCCTCCGTCCCGCTGAAGATGGGAAGAGGAGAAAGAAGAGGTGGCTGGTCGTGATCAAGAAGGACCTCTTGGGAAGTGAAGAACGGTGGAAGAAGCTATAGACAGGAAGAAATGGCGATGACTTACAGGAACAGTGAACCCTGTTAGGGATAGGGAGTAGCTTTAGGTATAAAGATGGGAGAGAAAGGATTGAAATTTCACTACTTTTAGATTTTCCAAGTCTATGAAGAGAATAAGAGAGAGCACACTGGCAGAGTGAATAGGCAGAATAGAAGAATACAAAAATGAAATCATACTTTTTAAACCAAAAAATTGTTCCTACTTAACACAATCGGTTGCTGCTTGACCATCCCTGCATTTCGCCATGACTTCGTCATCGAAAAGTTTTTTATATTTCTTCCTGCAGTCTTGCGATCCAAGGGCGCAAAACATATCAATGACATCCTTTTGGAGGTTGCTAAAAGAAGAATAAGGTCAAATGGATTTTCCTGTCCCTAGCACTGAGGAATCATCATAAAAGTCATTCATTTTCAACTCTGATGTCGCATGCCGAACGATGTAAGTGTGAGGAACCAGCAAAACTTACAAATCATGGAAATATTCGATAAATCCAACTTCCAAGTGGGCCAACTTGACCCCTCTTAGACTTTCGCGACGGCTGTTTTAGGTCTTACGTGGTATTTGACTTTATTATGATTTAGAGTTAAGCAAGAAGGAGTGTTAAAAGGGCCAATCATGGGGCATAACTCAAAAAATTACCGATTGAATGTGCATAGCTCACATTTGGAAAAACAGCTTGTCGTTCCTGTAGTTATTGGCAATGAAGTCGATACTGCTTTTTTCATACATCGGCTTCAATATGTTCATCATGTACACCTGCAAAGTGAACTTCGACGATTCACTCGTTCTATGTAGTCATCTTACCGAACTCACTTGAGCTGGCTTTGCTTCCGGCTCGGTACCGAAATACTTCAAAATCGAAGAGATCCCGGACATTGCTATTTCCAACGGTAGGTATTCCTAGAAGCATTCTAAGCTCAGTACAACTTTCACATGATCAAGGTAATAATGATAAGTGCAGACCGTTTCTTTTTCGGCATATTTCAGAAGTTCAAAAACAGTCTCGTACTCAATTGCGTCAGTTGCGGCTGCAGCAAACGCATCGCTAATGATGGCATTCCTTGTCCGAGGACTGTAAACCTAGAAAGACTTTAATTATGACTATTTATTCTCGAGCGATTCACATGAAACAATGTTTCTTTTTTTGTACAAAATGGAAAAGATTGACATTTTGTGTGGATTATGAGTGGGGTTCTAATAGCCAAAACGGTGGCCAGCTTCAAGTCAAGGAAAAGAGCCTTTCTTCGCAAACAGAACCAGAAAATCTTTGGCTGACTTGTAATAAGCCTCTTAGGATTGAATCATGCCATCAATCGACTCGAGCCATTCGATTTGGCCCAAAAATGGAAATTCCAATTATGTGAAGTTGTTGCCTACAGAAATACGGATCGCTAATGAATAGGGATAAGTAAAGGCTGAAGTTCATGGCGCTAAGCAGCCCCGTTTTGGAATGCGGCCCATTGGGCTTCCTTTCAGTCGTAGTGATTTTCTAGATGCGTTCCGTCTTCAGTAAGTATGCAGTAAGCCAATGTACAATGTGCTTTTACCCTCAGAGACTTTGGTACCAAATAGGATTGACATTGATCAGGGATTTGATCCCCATGCGTGCGTGAGGTGCTCCACTTGCCTCTACACCACCTCACGAAGCTGCAAAAGCGATCTCGCTGATGATGATTGTTGTTCTGTTCCGTTGACTTCTGATAGTCCTAACTTAGGTTTTTTAGTTTCATTCCCTTTGCTTTCGACAGAGCTACCTCATGATTGTCCTTGAGCTGCTTGATTATCTTTTTCCAACCGTTAGTGTCGTGATTTTGTCGATAAAATCCATAGCGGTCTGCGTTTACCACAAATGGAGCACCAGGATTACTTACATGCAAGTAGAGCGGTTCATCTGAAAGTAGTAATGAGTTGTAGACAGAGTTTCCTGAGTTTAAGGGTGTTCAGAAAGTACCCGCCACACGTTTGACAAACTGTTATCACGGGATTTGAACTGTTTTACAACATATCGCACAGTTCCAATTTCTTAGCAGTTTTTGGAACCTTTCGCTCTGGAACATCATACCTCTTCTCAACCATGTTCGCTTTACCTCCATCTTATCGCCTTCCTGGTACCACAGTGGAATATCCCACTTGAATCTGTAAGAAACCAATTGTGCTAGCTATGGGAGACGATAGAAAAAAGGAGCCCTTCTCCATCCACCAGTCAGCTGTTCAAGATATGAATAGACGTTACTGACCCGTATTTTGGATGACGGTACTTTTCTTTCTCCACAGCGTCCTTATTCGCCTTATATCGGCTTTGCGTTAATTTCAAAGTAGTCGAGTTAAACTCTGCTACGGAAATCACTGGGAAACCCATCTGAATGATCCCAAAGTACTCAACAAATTCCAAAATCGAGGTTTCTGAAATCCAGATGTAGGTAGACAGACCTGAGTCGTCCACTGACTTGCGAATTCCGTGGTTTTCATAGGTTTGCCGTCTGGACCTTCGACGTCAGTGACAACTTCATCAAAAACTGCCCATAGATCAGTTGCTTCTGCATTGCTATACGAGAACTTCTTGAGGTACTGCTGAAAATAGAACGACTTTCTCAGCGGCTGCTTCGGTACGAGCACAGGTGAGGCCGAGGGACGGAGAGCACCCCTCTACATTCTCCATAGAGAGGAGAGGCCGTTAGGGCAACGCCTCACTTTAACTTTTTTGGTTTTTTCATGAGAATTCTCCAACGCTAGGCACTTCCAGTGAATCCATCTAGTGAAGGATGTGGTTCAAAGGGACTGTGAATGGGATTCCGCAGATTCTATACTGGCAAAGAACTTCAGCTTTCTGTGGACCCGCAAAACAATGATGTTACGACGAAATACGGCCGGGAATTCCACGCAATAAGGGCCTGAAGTTAACTAACAACCTCGAAGGAAGAAAAGATTGGGATCCATGAGCTACAGTGGACCTTATGGTTATTGTTCGTTCAAAGCTTTTGAGCGGCATTTGATGACTTCGGTCTTAGGGCCACATAGGTTTGGTGAAGCCGCTTGGCATCATTCCCTCCCTGCCCATGGATATTCGAAAAATAGCAATATAGGAAAATAGATATTTACCGATACTGCATGCTTATGTTTTTCTTCTCCAATCAAGGCTCTCAGCATAGTAAGAACAGAAGCTCCTTTGGCGTATGTGATATCATCAAAGGCTTCTTCAACTTCTGCAGCTTTGTCGATTCTGAAGGAAAGTGGATGGCTTGACGCTACCGAATCAGCTTTCAACGCGCGTTCAAGTACATCAACCAGGAAGTAGTTCCTCTGCAACAAATCTTTTTTCCTATCACTTAAAATCCCAGGAAAGAAATTTGTATCTTACCATTCTGGCGTCATCTTGAGTTATCTGACCAGCTCCAATGAATTCTGTGTATCTTGCAAAACCTTCATTCAACCACAAGTTATCCCACCACTTCATTGTAACCAAGTCGCCAAACCACTGGAAATAACTCGATGTAGATGATAGCGACCAGTAGATAACATTGTAAGCATTCAAAACTGTAGTAAGAAGGGAGATCAGTTCCCAAAACCAAAAGGGCACAAGAGCCACGAGGAGCCCACAATAAAAATAAAATGTGTGTAAGAAAAATGCATATTCAACGGACGATAATCATCAGGTAGCAGCTGCACTACATAAAGGCCTGCTTATTCAGAAAGAGATCCCATACTGGGCATCGCCCATGAGGTTGACGATACTTACGCACACATCGCTCACGCCTACAGTTAAAGATGCTGTCAGGAACCGATCATAATGCGAATTTAGCAGGTACCTTTACTGTTATTCACGCTCAGGGTTCTCCTCCTAATTTACTCACTGGTACCAGCTTAGGTTACGGAATGGATGCCGCGGAACGTCAAATGAACACCACGACGGCCACTATAGCGATGATCAGGCTTCTTCAAACAAAGCTGCACTCTTCTTCAGGCTTCGAACGAATGGAGTGCCATATGTCTCGTCCCTTTGGCAAAGGTGATTCACTGGGCTACTCTGGCTCGCAACAGGGAAGAATGGGCATGGTTCTCGTGCAAGCATGCGGTATGGACGGTCGACGGGACGACAGGTGATGCAGGTGATCGAGCATTCTTGTATTCAATAAGTTGAAAATGGAACTGATTGTCCTAATTGTCCTCTTATTAACACCTTTGCGCAAGCGAAATTTTACCTGATGAGCAAGCTCATGAGCAACAATGCGAGCAATTCGCTGTTTGTTCATCGGTGCATAGAATCTGTCATCGTACAACAAAGAGTTTTCCCTGAAATTTGGTCAGAATAAATCCATCAATAGACGATATTTCCATACTGCCCTCTTTTTCAGTGCAAAATTCGAAAGGTACAAAATACAGAGGGAGGAAACGAAAGTCCCCATATGACCCCTTCACAAAAGATTTCACTGGTTGGAGTATTCGAAAGCCAACAATGCTTGCTACCGTAGTATTAGTCTTGAGGGGAGTGCACTGCTTGAATGCACTGCCCTGTCAATGAGGGTTGCCTATAGAAAGTTGCTTTGTAGCTTTTCAATTTTCTATTACAAAAAAGTTTTTATGGCCCTCCAATGACCTTTTTTGATATACTTTTTCACATTATTTTTCCTTCTTTTCCTGTTGCATGAATAGAGGCTACTACTTTCCGAATAGAGGGCTGTAATGAAGCCACACCTGTAAGTGATGAGGCCCCAGTTCTCCATGGCTCCTGCTGAGAAATCAGGAAGGGCGATCATATCTGGAATTAGGAGCTTTCTATAGGTCAAGAATATGGTCCATGAAATGGCATTAGCTCTCATGGAAACTAGTTCTCGATGGAATTCATTACAAACCTTGCTTTTTCAAAGGGAATCTGATATCAAAGAAATCTTCATAGAATTCTATGCACTTGATTCCAGACTCCAAAGCATATTGTGTCATTCTCTTTGCCTCTGGGCGTGACCATATACGGAACTGAATACAGCCATTTTTCAAAGGGAATCTGATATCAAAGAAATCTTCATAGAATTCTATGCACTTGATTCCAGACTCCAAAGCATATTGTGTCATTCTCTTTGCCTCTGGGCGTGACCATATACGGAACTGAATACAGCCAAATAAAGTAGCTACGATCGGGATTTATATGGGAAAATTTCATACCCGAACGTCTGTCTTTGTTTTACCCTCGATGTATTCAAATTCTGAAACCATAACTGCCAACAAGTAGGATGACATCCGTGGAGTAGTCAAGAACTTCGATGTGATCCAATCTCCACTGATCTCTCTATAAAGAAAAGCTTCAGGGGTCAGATCGTAGCATTATTCTAAGTGGGTTTCAAATTTTTTACCATTTTTTCCTCAGACGGGTACCCCAGCCTAAGGAAGCAGGTTTCATGGGCAAAATTATGCGGCACATCATGGTGTCAACTGGGCTCGTTTGAACGGAGCTCGTTGATACATCCGCTATATTAATATTTATATTTATATTACATCCGCTCCAGAGTGTGAAGGGTACCCCGTCGAAGGTTTAAAAGC